GAAGCGTGGTGAGTGCAGACATGGTACTGAAGACGGCTGAGCGTTCTTCAGGCAGCAGAAGAGTGAGACACTGAGCCTGGCTTGAGCATCTAAAACCTCAAAGTCCGCCCCCACTGACACCCTTCCCGCAGCAACACCACACCTACTCCAACAAGGCTACTCTATCCCTCCTAAAAGTGCCACTCACCATGAGCCCATGGGAGCCATTTTCATTCAAATCACCATAGAAGGCTGCAGACAGCCCAGAACTGAGTCCGACGGATAAGTAAATGGCCAACTTCCAGGCAGAGGGTCTTCCCCACCTGCTAGATGGGTGGAGCTAGCAGGTGTACAGGGCACTGTGGGTGCACAGATGATGCCACCAGCCCCAGAGCCAGGAAGGAATTATGGACAAAGAAGTTAGGATGGGGGTGGTTTGCATGTTGTTGGTCTGAGAGAAGAAAATCGAGAAAGGGGATTTCTGAGGAGAAGAGAGCTAGAGGCTGAGGGAGCAGCTGCCTCTAGAGGGGCCTCCCTGAGGACCCTAAAACCACCTTTCAAGAGCCAGGAAGAGGAAGGCTGTGAGTCCCTCAGAGGTCAAGTGCTTCCCAGCATGCACCAGTGCAGCAAAACAAACAGGCAGGAAAAAGCCATCTTCCTGAGTCTGGCCTGGAACGAGTCCAGCCCTGCAGCTGCCAGTTTGGAGCTCAGGGAAACTTTCTGCTTCCCAACCACAGGCTCAGCCTCTGGGTCTGGAGAGCTGACCTTGCAAAGGGCAGGTGCCTGGTCACAGCTAACCCAGGCTGTCAGTGTGGCCCACTGCAGTGCACTCTCTGACCTCTCCAACCCTGTCCCAGCCTGACACCTACAGTGCAGGCTGGAAAAGCAGGGGGGAGATGGCTGGAGAAGGAAGACAAGCTGTCTCGCCTGGGGTGGGGGAGTTAGAAGAATGCAGAGGCTGCTGCGATCTTTTATTGGCCTTTGCCTTCCTCTGCCCCACATCCCGCCCAGCTGTCCAGCACTCGGCTCCCTTCTGAGCATCCTCGCTCAGCCTCAGGCTGGCAAAGAAGGAGCCTGTTCCCAATGCTAGCTCTGCCACAGGCGCCTAGAACCACCTTTGGAGGCTCACTCTTCTGTGCCTCAGTGTCCTCTCCTGTGAACTGAGATAATACTGCCTACTAGGCGGGGTCTTGGGGACAGGAAAATGAATTACTATAACTACACAGGCAGCTTGCTACAACTGTCAGTACATGGTAGATAGTATTTCAGGTAAGATATTCACTTTGACTCAGAAGAATGCAGGGAAAGTCCTCTGCACTGAGGTCCCAGCCCCTTCTCTGCCCTGCCTCACCAAGATGATGTTTCTATGCCCTCATCAATGGCTTGTCTGAGGCAGATACCCAGCACACATGCCTCTGAACATGCTTGTACAATAGCCACCCACCCCCTTACACACTCAAAACATCTGAGTGGAAGGCAGATCACTTGGTGTCTCTGCCATCAGATGACCACAAAAGTGCCGCCCTCAAGGGCTTGGATGGGAACATAGACGTGTGCCTCCTTACCATCGGGCAGCCTCTGGGGAGCTTCCCATACATCCCGCCCTTAGCAAAGAGGCAGAGATTTGACTCTTAGGACAGGCCAGTCATGCAGACATTAAGCCATTGAGCGACAGCAGCATGTTATCGAATCTGAGGAAAAGTTCATTCTCCAGCCAGCTGGTCTCCAGCCAGTTAGTCTCTGCCCCACCCAGGTCCCAGACATGCCTCTGACTAAATGAATTGCCTGATCCATCCCTCCTCCATCTGTCTGCTCTGTGTTTCCTGAAGTAGACTAATTGAGCATCTTGGGATCAGTCACAGCTGGATTGCTTTCCTCTCTAAGCATTTAGGAGTTGATTAAGCTGAGATCCCACCGGGGTGATCAGGCCCACTTGACTGGCCCTGAGAAAGCCCCTGATACTCTGCTGTGTAACTAGGACAGTAGGTCACCCTGGGTGTCACAGCACATGATCCAGATGTCAACAGGAACTCGGGACAGAACAAGTCTGTGTGGGCTTCAGTCTTGGGCAGAGTAGGACTTGAAAAAGCCAGCATGGGATTTCTCAGAGAGAACTCAAACCAGAAGGATCCTTGGGGAGATTCCCAGAGACAGCAGCAGTGGGCACCAGGCCAGAATGGAAGGTACATTGAAGAGCAACATGGTCCTACCAAGCTCTGGGAAGGTCCAGGGAAAATGCATCCTACAGGAAGGACTTAGGCCAACCTCTGCCTTGTGAAAAACCAACCAAGGCTTCAGCAAGACTGCCACAGACAAGTGGAGGTGGGACAGACATCCTGAATTGGTGGGAAGTGTAATAGATGCAGCTAATGCCGAATCTGTTCCAGCGTCCTGGGTTGAAACCAGATAACAGAAGCTTTCAGGGCTGAAGGTGCTGCCCCTTCAGAGCCAGGCTGTGGGCACCCAGCTCTAGAAGCGCCCTCTAGTGGGGGCTCTGTCATTTGCGTTCACTGAGTGAATAACCAAAGGCATCTGTGCTGCAGCCTTAAAGACCAAGCCCTAAGTATGGGATCTGACAGTCTCAACTGGCCCTCTACTAAGGCTAAATTTTAACTGCGGTACCTCCCAGGTTGAGTTTCCTACCCCACTCCACCCCAATGCTCAGTGTTGTCTGTGACAAGACTTTTTCTCTTTTGCGTTCACCTGAGAAGTAAGTACCCATGAGAACCTTGGTTTCCCATGTTTACTGGAGGATGAACTCCACCCCAGATATGATGGGAGCTTGTTCTGACAGACTTTGTGTTTCTTACCTGACAGTTCACCATTAAAACATAGTAGACCCCATCTTTAATGAGAATGAGTGGAGCCAGTTTGAATTCCCATGATCCTTTTCTCAAGACTTCAACAGCTTCCTTCTCTGACAGGAAGTTCTGAAGGGCATTGCTCCAGCCTGAGCATCACTTTGGAGCAATGAACTCTGTGAGAATGAAAACATGCTGATTGGCAGTGGGAAGCCGAATGCTGTTTCTCTGCAAGATAGATCTATGCAAATCCAAGATAGTATTTCTCTACCTCCATGATGACACAGGGAGCCATGAAGCACCTGCCAGTATTTTCCACCCCTGTGGTTTTATGCCACCAACCAGCTCCCAAACCATAACATGGAGACTTATTATTAGTTATGAATGCTCTGCCTTATCTTATGCTTGTCTCACTAGCTCATAACTTATTTTAACCTATTTCTTTTCATCTACGTTTTGCTTCAGGGCTTTTACCTTTCATTGTGTATGTCCTACTCCATGTTTGGCTGACTGGCAGCTGCCTGACTGGCTGGCCCTGGGCGCTTCCTCTTTTTCTCCCTCATTCTCTTCTCTTTTCTTCTCTTCCTTTAATTCTCTCTCTCTCTCTTTCTCTCTCATATCATATCTAGATCCTTCCTCCTATTCTCTCTGCCCACCAGCTAGCTCCACCTATTTTCTGTTCATCATTAGACCAATCAGGTGCCTTAGGCAGGCAGCATGAAACAGCAACACACCTTTACAGAGTTAAACAAATGCAACACACCTTTACAGACTTAAACAAATGCAGCACAAACAAATGCAACACACCTTTACAGAGTTAAACAAATGCAACACAAACAAATGCAACACACCTTTACAGAGTTAAACAAATGCAGCACAAACAAATGCAACACACCTTTACAGAGTTAAACAAATGCAGCACAAACAAATGCAACACACCTTTACAGAGTTAAACAAATGCAACACAAACAAATGCAACACTCCTTTACAGAGTTAAACAAATGCAGCACAAACAAATGCAACACACCTTTACATAGTTAAACAAATGCAGCACAAACAAATGCAACACACCTTTACAGAGTTAAAGTAGTATTCCACAACACCCCACCCCACACATTAACCAGATTTCTCCATGACTTGCTTCCTGCTGATGTCCCTGTCTGGCTCCACACTCAGCCTCCAACTGACCCTGCTTTGCAGCAGCTGTTCAAGGTGGGCTTGTGTGCTCACCTGCCTGGCTGTGCTAGCCTATAGGTGTGCCTCTGTGGCAGCTGACTCAAAGGATCAGGGGCTATGGTAGTATTTTTCATCATTCTGATGAATTACTGGAAGAATCTATTCAAAAAATGATTTGGGAATCACAGTTTCAGAGGTTTGGGTCTACAGGTCACAATGGGTTTTCTGGGCCTGATATGAGGATTGATGGGCGGAGCTGCTCACTCTGTGACAACGGGAAGGGGGGGGGGAGTGGCCAGCAATAATGCCTATCCTTCTAGGACATGCCTCTAGTGAAGGCAGGCCGCCATGGAGAGAGGACTGATTGTGCAGAGAGGCTCACTCCATAACAAACAGGAAGGGGGAGAGAGAGAGGTGGCCAGCAATGGCATGTAGCTTTTCAGAGAATGCCTCCCCTTCCTCTAACACACACTGCGAAGGGATTGATCTATTGATTAAGTTGGAGTCCTCATGAACCAGTCACATCTCATGATTACACCCACCGGCTAGGGCCAAACCAACTATGAGCTTTTGGACAACACTTCATAACCAAACCTTAAGTTTTCTAGTTTGGAGTCCGAGTCTAAAGTCAGGCTAATGCAAATGCTGTAAGCACATGGAGGGTGGTGAGGTTAAACCAAAAGCAGGGAGCCCGTGTGCATTCAATGTATCTTAGCCCTAGAAAGGTTGATAGGAAGACAACCCATTCCACCCTAGATGGAGCTGCATCGGTATCTCATCGATGTCTGTTGCCTTAATCACTCCTGCCCATGCAGCATGGGGTTTGTGCTGGATCTCAGCCTGTCCCCCAGTCTTCCATGAACTGGGTCAGGGAACTGTTTGTGTCTCTGGGGCTGAGGGCTGCTAAGGCTCCAACCCTCCCTCATGCAGGTACAGCTGCTCCTGCTGAGACAGCACCCTTACTTCATGGCAGTCCAGCACCTAGCGATGGAAGCCATGTGGTGGGTGAGGTCTCCTGAAGGCTTTGTTCCTGTGCCCTCACAGGTGGGATCCCGTTCATCCTGACCGGCGAGTTCTTCCAGCAGTCAGAGCGGCCAGCGGCCTTCATTATCGCAGGCACAGTCAACTGGCTCTCCAACTTCGCTGTGGGGCTCCTTTTCCCCTTCATGCAGGTATGCCTGACCAGGGGGCCTCCAGCCTTCACATTGCCTGGGGACTCTGAGACACAGTGAAATTTGTCTGGTTGCTTTCTGATGGGTGTCTCTCTCTTCATCTCCCTCCCCACCCCTCTCTCTCTCCTGTCTCTTTGTCTCAACTCATACTATGGTCCTGAGGAAGGAAGGATATGTACTTTGATGACGATCCTCTTCTCTCCCTCCTGTCCTTCCCTCCTATCCCTCCTTCCTCTTGTCCCTCTATCCTCCCTTTCCCACCTTTCTCCTCTTCTACCCCCTCCTTTCTCCTGTCCCTCCCTCCCATCCCTTTCCCCATTCTGTCCCTTTTCATCTCCGTCCCTCCTCTCTCCTGTCCCTCCTCCCTCTGTCCCTTCTAGGAGCTGGTCCCAGATGCTATGGGCTGCCTCCTGAAGAATGAGTCACCTATTGCTTGACCCTATGACGTATAGGCCACTCTTGCCATGTGCTCAACACTGTGTCAGACAAACCTCAGAAATGTTGTACTGTGTGTCCTACATACACTCTGAGCATCCCAAAGAAGACAGTGATTGGTAGGAAAATGCCAACACATTTCAGAAGCAGATGCAAATTCACTAGGGTTTGCAGTGTTTGGGGAAACAAAAATGAGTGAGCCCCAGCCTGTGGACTGTTAGAGACAGGGTTCTGAAGCTTATGGGCTGCTGGAGCCGTGCTTCTGTAGCACGTGGGCTGTTGTGGGTATAGTGCTCCTCAAAGATGTCTCAAAGGAAGTGGTACTGGAGTAGAGACATGAGAAAGATAAGGAGCAGGGGAGTCTGGGAAGTATAAAGTCCAGGTTAGCCTAACAGCAGTGCAAACAGGCTGGTTCATGCTTGCCCTAGATGGGAAGCAATATAGGGGCCGATACAGCTGCAGCAGGGTGAGGCAGGAGGCGGCTGAGAAGCGAGTGAGCTCACGAAGTTATCCGTAGGTCAGAGCGTAAAAGACAAGGACTTTGCAAAGGTTGTGCACAGAGACAGAGCCCAGCAGCATCCAACTGGAACACCATCACCCAGGGCTCCCTGAGGCCCATGACACAGGTGTATCAACCTGGAGAGGGTGAGACTACATCACATACCCCCAACCACACACCTGTCATCTCTCCCCAAAGGGCATTTCAATCCCATCATCCTCCCTGGCCCACTATTCCAAACACTGCTTAGTGCCAGCCCAGCACGTCCCAGTGACCCTAGTGCCAGCGAGAAAGCCCTGTCCCCCGCCCACCACGCCCAGCCACGGCACAGCTGTAGACCTGTGGGACAGCTGCTTCTCTCACAGCTGCAAACTCTACTCCACAGCCTCCAGGTCCTCCCCCACGGCCTACAGCTACAGACAAGTCCACTGAGGCCAGGGAAGAGGTGGTTATTCCAGGCTCCAGGGCCCACCAAGTCCAGCTCCCCTACCTGCTTGTCTTTACTCTGGTCTGTTATGTGCCGCTGCCTCCTCAACCCAGCAGCTGGAAGGCAGGTGCCCCATCCAACCTCCAGGTCACCTTCGGCTGCATTTAAACAATGGCTTTCCATCTCACAGTGCTACAGGTCCTTCCAGGGGCCACCGAGGACAGAGAGACCTATGCTTAGCACCCTCTTCCTTGGGGCCCCCTTTTCAGCTGCGGCCAGGACACAACAAGCTGGTTTTTCAATTGGCCCTATACCTTCGGTGTGATTTTCCTGTTTGGTTAAAAGCTAGCAGGCAGAGCCTGCGGTCAGTAAAACATCCATTTCATGGAGAAAATGAACTTCAGGTTGCCGGCTGGCTCTCTCCCACTCCTTCACGGCTGAGCCTTCCCAGGCTCAGGGTCCACTCTCTGGGTCTATGAAGCAGACCTGTCTTCGACACACCCGGGGGCGAGCAAAGTAGATCTTTTATTTCTATTTTTTTATTGATTTTTATTGAGCTCTACATTTTTCTCTGCCCCCCTCCCTGCCTCTCCCTTCCCCTTCAACCCTCTCCCAAGGTCCCCATGCTCCCAATTTACTCAGGAGATCTTGTCTTTTTCTACTTCCCATGTAGATTAGATCTATGTATGTCTCTCTTAGGGTCCTCGTTGTTGTCTAAGTTCTCTGAGATTGTGGTTTTCTTTGCTTTATGTTTACAAACCACTTATGAGCAAAGTAGATCTTATAGACACTACAGCCCTAATGCCTTTCCTCCAGGCCAGGAGGGAGACGCGTCCATGGGTACATTCATGTAAACATCTATTGAGCATTTGCCGTGTGCCCACAAATGCTCCACCCTGTCAGCTCCAGGAGGTACAGCCTCCAGCAGCCCTTCTGAGAGACTCCTGATGTCACCCCTGCTCAGCCTGTCAGAGACAGAACCTGAACCCAAGTTCTTTATCCTCACCTGTGAGACAAGGTGACTGATGTCTTGTGACTCTCATCGTGTGTGTTGTGTATCTCCATCTCTCCTATTTGAGGACAATGACATACAGAGCCCACCCAGGTGGTCCAGGACCTCCCTTTCAAAACCAGAACTTCAACAAGTGCACAAAATCCCACCCCTTGACTTTTTTAAAAAAGGGCGGTGAAAGACCCTCGACGAGGACCTCTTTTCGGGAGGAGACCTCCCCAACACCAAGGAACAGGCCGAGACTGCACGGATGCAAATCGCAAGAGGTTTATTGAGTAGACACAGGTATCTGCGGGCAGCAAGATCTCTCGGAAGATTTGCGCCCCTGTCAACTGGAGGGCGGGCTTCTTATAGGGGAGAGCAAAAGCAAGCTTACAGAAGCAAAAGCGTGGTTATCAGTCGACCGGAATGAGGCGGGGGCATGAATGGTTTCCTCTCTCAGCATAGGTGTCAGCAAGAAGCAAGCTTACAGAAGCAAAAGCGTGGTTATCGGAATGAGGCGGGGGCATGAATGGTTTCCTCTCTCAGCATGGATACCTGGCAACAGTCATCCTGTTCCTATCTTATAGCTAACCTGCTTTGTTGATATCCTATCTTATTGACATCTTGCCTTGCAGTCTTCCTATCTCTATCTCATAGATATCCTGCTCTCTCAGGCACATGGGATGTTCTTACGGGAGCAGGCTGGCTGCTGATCCAGAGAATTTTTTTTTTTTAAAGCAAACAGGACGTTCCCCCGGGAGCATGCTAGCTGCGGGTTTTGAGGAGGGGGCCTGTAGGGTCTTTCAGGCAGCATTTACAACCTAGGCCTGGATCATTGAAGGCCATTATACAGCTGTTCATGGAAGTGAGATGGGTTTTAGGAGCAGGGACTGGCTGTGATGGGAAACTCTCCTCTCCGGAGAAACACACATCCCCTAGGAGAAGTCATCTGAGTCCAGTTCTGGGTGGACCTGGCCAGTCGTCACCCAGGAGATGATGAGAATGGACATGCTAGCTGTGGGAGACACACTCTCTCTAACTCAGCACCCAACAATAGTCACTGCATGCACATCTCCACGCCACCACTTTCTGTTCTCGGTGCATTGTGGATAGATCCTGCTGGGCCTTAAGTGTCCTACTGAGGAATCCTCACTTTCTCCAATAGACCAATGGGATTCAATCCTGGCCATGAGATTCATCTAAGAGTTTAGGGTGTCTGGTGGCTGCTGGAGAAACACCCACCCCAGGTTCTGATATAATGTGGAGGGGGTGGGATTACCAGCATGTGTCAAAACAGTGCAAATGATCTGAGCACATTACCAAGACTGAGTTCCCCCCGACATCTGGTAACCCGTGAAGGATGGCAATCAGTGGGAACACATAGGAAATCGTGTGGGTGTTTCTGGAAGAGCTCCTTTTAGATACTCAGAGACAGGATTGCAATGAGAGACTGTGAGCAGAGACCTGGTGGCTGACAGTCTGTGGTTTACCAGGGATCCTGCGGTAAGGCCTGGGGCAAGTAAAGAGGGAAGGGAAGTACCTGCAAGGACAAGGTGAGGGTCCTGAGGCAGCAGGACCTGCGTGGAGGTGCTCTCCCCTAGCTGAGAGAGAGCCAGGGTGGCAACAGGCACTTTGCCCCCAGACCCCTGGGTCTCCACTCGCTTCTATGGAAGCAGTCAGCCATTGACCCTCAGCAGCCTGTTCTTCCAAGTGCTGGTTCAGTGGGAAGATTTGCATAATAGAAATGAGGCCTCATCAAGCAATAAAGGCCTTATCTATAAGATAGTGGCTCCAGCTGGCCGCTTCTGACCAGAGCTCCCTCCCTGCAGAAGCCTTGCCTTCAAATTCAGCTGCTTCTCAGTCCTTTCTCGGTGACCCCAATTAGCAGAAGTGCTACCTCGTGATCAGCTTGTTCCCCACAGGACAGACATGATTGTGACATGGGCTCTACAGCACAGAGGTTTCAAAATGATCAAGTCCCCACTTCCTTCCTACACATAGTAAAGGTATTTCATAGGTCACATAGGTTGTGCCAAACTTGGAAACTCATAACTTCTGCAAGTAAGCAATGGAGACACAAGAACCAGCTCAGGCTACAGAAAGAGTTCAAGATCAGCCTGGGCTACACAAAATTTTATTTAAAAGCACACACACACACATACACACACACACACACACACACAAACAAGAAAATGAAAACACTCATGAGTGGCATAGAAACAAACATAGATATGCGTGGATGGATAGAGAGATATAGAGCTAGATATTTCATAGATAAAAAGATGACATGTGTATAGTCAGATAATAAGTAGATTTGGGGCTATTTATCAAAGATATACACATAACTTTGCCCAGCATTAGGAGAACATTGTAGAACAAAAGAAAAGAGAACAATAATCAAGACTAAAAAATGAGAGAAATAAACACAGACAAGAAGGGATCTCAGCATGGACCAGAAGGGTAGTGCATCAAGAAGTGGGGTGTATTGCAAGCTGAGGAGATTGCTCAGTGGGTAACAAATTTACCACACAGCAATGAGAACCTAAATCGAGACCCCAATTCCCAGCACCCAGGTAAAGCTGAACACCATAGGGCATCTTTAGTAATCCCAACACTGCAGCCGTGAGAGGGGAGACAGTCAAAGG